TTCTCCAGATTTGGGAACAATTCGGGAGAGCCGAGGTGGACCTATTCGCGTCACGCGTGAACGTGCAATGTCCTCTGTGGTTCTCTCTGAGGGAACAGGATGAACCGCCACTGGGAAGGGACGCCTTTGCGCACCAACCGTGGCCGAGAGTTCTCCTGTATGCATTCCCTCCGCTGTCCTGCATTCTCCCACTGCTAGCCAGGGTGAGGTCAGGGGGGCTGTCAGTGATACTGATAGCGCCCGATCGCCCGGGGGCTCCGTGGTTTGCGGAGATGAGTCAGATGTTGATTGCGCCACCTTGGCCAATTCCACATCGACGGGACGCGTTGTCTCAGGCGGCTGGCACGACAAATACCCCTCAAGAAGCTGTCTATCTAGACAGCACTGTTGCTCGCTTTGACTACAGCTAAGCGGGTCAGTGATTTGTGTGCTCTTTCGACGAGACCTGACTGCCTGGCCATCAATGGTGACCTGAGCAGAGCAGTGTTACGTCCTAACCCGGCATTTGTGCCGAAGGTTATTAAGAGTTCATATAGGTCACAGACCGTGGAGCTGTGGGCTTTTTCTCCTCCTCCTCATAGAGAGAGGAGTGAGGAGAAGCTCCATCGCCTGTGCCCGGTACGCGCTTTGGCGTGTTACGTCGAGCGCACAGCAGCGATTAGGTCATCGCCTCAGTTGTTTGTGTGTCACGGTGCGGCTGCACTAGGTAGACCACTTTCAAAACAGAGGCTGTCTCACTGGCTTTGTGAAGGCATTGAGACAGCTTATGAGGTAGCAGGGCGGCAATTGCCTCAGGGTATCAGAGCTCACTCCACTCGTGGAGTAGCGGCTTCTACTGCCCTTTTTAGAGGAACAGGAGTAGAGGATATCTGTAGAGCAGCATCCTGGTCGACGCCGTCTCCATTTATCCGTTTCTATCTCTTAGATATGTCTTCTAATTCTCTGGCTCGATCTGTACTCAGCGTGGCTGAAGGGAGATCTTGAGCAAGAAAGAGAGGAGAAGCAGGACTGTGGACTCAGGTTTCCATCAGGTCCGCTTTGGTTAGGAAGACGTGTTTTTGACAGATGTGTTTTCTAACCCTTTGGCTCGGTCTGTACTCAGCATAGCTGAAGGGAGATCTGGAGCTAGGAAGAGAGGGAAAAGCAGGACTATGGACTGGGTTTCCATCAGGTCCGCTTTGGATAAGAAAACATATTTTGTGACATGAATCCTGACTGACAGGATCAGTACAGTAGAGGCATGCGTTGATTAACAGAATATGAGGTCATCTATCTGTTTGTTCAGTTAGTATGACTCATGTTTTTGTTCCTGCCCACTAATCTCTGGGATTCCATTGAGTGAGTGAGGCGGTCTACCGCGTTCATAATGTAGAGTGACACTTGATGTCATTCCATTAGTGGTCGGTAGTGTTTTCACAGGATATTGAGGCACATCTATCTGCTAGTACAGATTAGTATGGCTTCTATTCTGGTGATCTGCCCACTAGTCATTGGCATTGCCATTGGACTAGGTGGGGCGGGTCTTTAACCGATGACGCGGTATTTTGTGACGCCCGTAGGGGTTTTTAGTTGCAGTACTGTGGGACTCGGTTGCAGCCATTGCTAGGCTTGACTTTCTCGTTTCGATGGGAAGTGTTAGGCTCGGCAGGGAGTACATTTTGGAGCGCTACGCTCCGCCTTAAACCATTAGGAGCAGAGCTCCCCTATGGGGCGGAGCTCCACGATATAGAACGATTAGTTACCGGAGTGTAACTCCAGTTCTATGAGTGGAGCGGAGCCCCATAGGACTTAAGGCCCTGCCGACCCTCTCTAGTCTCGCTGAAGAAAAATATCTCAGGAGGCTGATTGAGGGGAGGCACCCCCTCTTATAGGGACACCTGTACTCCTATTGGCTGTAGGTGTGTGCATAATTTTGTCTCAGGCTGCTGCTGCCTTAGGGCAGAGGGTAAACCATTAGGAGCAGAGCTCCCCTATGGGGCTCCGCTCCACTCATAGAACTGGAGTTACACTCCGGTAACTAATCGTCTTGCCACTTCCCTGTGAAACCTGATCAGTAAAGATTCAATAAAGATTCTAAAGAAGAAAAAAGACTGCTACCTCTCTTCTTCTTTGTCTGGACCGGGGTCTTCTTCCCTTCCTCTTCCTATTCCTCCTCCTCCTCTTTCCCCTCTTCCTCGTTCTGTTTCTCCTCCTCGCTCTCTTCCTCACTCTCCGATGCCTTGTTGATTCCTGTGAACAGAGTTAGAGTTCTTAGAATTCACACACATGCACACGTTGTATTGTTGCCATGGGGGTGCCCTCTGACCTTTGGGAACGGCCTCTTTATTGGACTTGGCCTTCTCTTCGCCGGCCTCTTCCTCTGAACTGCAGGAACAAGGGAGTAAGGAGCAAGAGAGCGAGGAAGGGATGAAGGATAGAAACAAATAAATGAGAGGTTGCAGGAAGTGTTTGTGTGTATGGCACTACAAGTGTCAGCTGTGGTGTGTTTGACCCTACAGCTGTCAATAGAAGCTCTGGTGTGTGTGTGTCTCAACTGCTCTCATCTGACATGTAGTCGACCTCCCGGCCCTCAAAGTCTCCATCGTCACTGTCCTCATTAGCCTTGCTGTCATTACACTTCTTCTTCTTCTTCTTCTTCTTCTTCTTCTTCTTCTTCTTCTTCTTCTTCTTCTTCTTCTTCTTCTTCTTCCCTTCCCCTTCGCATCCCCCTCTTTCTTCTTGAGCTTGCTGTCTCCATCTGAGAAGAAAAGAAGAAGAGGGGTGAGAAAAGAAAGAAAGAAGGGGGTTGAGAAAAGAAAGGAAGAAGAGGGGGTGATAAAAGAAAGGAAGAAGAGAGGGGGTGAGAAAAGAAAGGAAGAAGAGGTGGTGATAAAAGAAAGGAAGAAGAAGGGGGCTGAAGAAGAAGAGGGTGTACAAAAACTGAAAAGACGGGGTGAAAGACCCTGAAGAAGGGGTGGAAAAGGAGAATTCCCCCCGTCCCCTCTTTGTGCGCCACCGCCCTTCCCCCGATTGTTGCCCGTCCTCGCTCTTGTTGTTGTCCAATCAGACCCGAGGGGTTCGACTAAGACGCGTGTTTGCAGCCAGCCCTTAGGCTCCAGAATGAGTGACCAGCAGCTGCGGGTGTTGATACGCGCCCTAGGGGGGTTGCGCCACCAGGACGGGGGGGGTGACCAAACCGGAGCACTCCGCGGGTGTGGCCCCGACCGCCGCCGCGTGTGTGTGCGCCCCTACGCGCCGCGGTGTGTGTTCTCGGCCGCGTCGTTCCGTCGCCGTTCTGGGCTCAGAATTGAATGGGTGTGGTGAATTATTATTAATGAACTGTAGAGTTTAATGGACTATGAGGTAGAACTGGGTTAATCAAGAGCATAGAGTTAGATTTCTTTGTTACTGGGCCAGGAATTGAATTGGGTCATTTCACTGTGTGTGTGGGGGTAAAGGGGGAATCTGACCTAGGGTCAAATTGCTCGCTCTGACATAAATCGATGGCTGTCTTATCTGATCAGAGACTGAAACCAGCTTGTGGCCTTTCATGTCTCTCTCTTCAAACACTGTGAAGGGAGCGGCACGGGTTGAATGGAGTTTTGGGCTAGACCTTTGTCTCCTTGGTATCTTCTTGAATAATTACAGCATGATGGGGTGGGGTTTGTGTATGTTTCAAGGATTTAGGGCCTTGTCATGTTTAAACTAAACATGAGTGTGTGTGCAAGACAGGGGAGTGAGTGATTGGTTGGAGTACTATGTGTATAATAAAATTAGAGTTTAGCCGCCCTCAGAGACAAAGGAAGTGGGCATGGAGTGGAAAAGAGCGGGAAACTGTAAGAGGAGGGATTTTAAGTGAAGAGAGACATGGAAAGGGGTATATATAGAGGGAGAGCAAGAGAGAGGCGGGGCTACTCTGCAGACCGGCCTGACTTTGTTGAAACTCTAATAAAGTCATTTTTGTTGCAACAAAAACTCTGAAAGTATTTTGATTTCTTATAAAATACAGTGATTGATTTTCCACAACAGGGGTGAGAAAAGAAAGGAAATGGAAAGAGAGATGCACCTTCTAACAATTTAACAGTTGAAGATCTAAAATGTACAGTCCATTATTTGTTAGACATTGAGATGAGTCTTCGGCTAACAGGCATGTGGTTCATACACATTGTATACTAGTGATGAGCACCGACATGGATAATCCATGTTGATACAGTTGCATTTTTCCTGTTTAATATTGATATCATAATATATCAAAAACACTTTACTGTAGCCTACATGTTGTTTACCCGAATTACAAAGGAAAATGTTTAACAAATAAACTACATTGCATCTTTGTTCAGTTTTTTTTGTGTATCTCTGTGAAGTCCAGACAACTAAGGGGTCTGTGGGTGGCTTTTGACCATTTATTTGGATCATTGTTAAGAGGAGGTTTGGTCCATATCGGATGTTGGGAACTATATTTATTGAATATTACATTAATCCAATCAATTGAAATGGCCAATTTGGGTGTAATCAACTAACTTTCAATTAGAGTTCTAATTGTCTTTCAGAAAAATAATGTTCAAGAAATGCTAATCTCATGCCTCTCTTTCTACTCTTCCTTCATTCTCCTCATTACTGGGCTCTCCTCCCTCCCTCCATCCTTCTCTCCTCCCTCCATCCTTCTCTCCTCCCTCCATCCTTCTCTCCTCATCTCCACAGAAGCTGCTGTCGCTTTCCTCTACTCCATCCTTGGCTCCATCTCGATGTATCTTTCTGTGACTCCTCACGTCCTATCTCCTCACCTCCTCCTCAACTGTATTGGAGGAGAAGGTCCAAGTCCCTCCCCAAAGAACTTAGTCTCCAATGAGTTTTGAGAAGGAGACGAGAGGATGCAATGAATCGAGGAAAGATGAATTGAAGAAAAGCCCAAACCTTCTAACACACCACTGTTGCTGTTTTCACTTCTTAGGTCTCCTCTCTCCTGTCCTTCGTCCCTCGCTCCTTACCTTCTCCTCCGCTGCTGTCGCTCTCATCACTGCTCAGCTCCAGGTCGTCCTCCAGGTCATGGATGCGCAGGTCCCCTCCTCTTCCTCCTTCTTTTTCTTCTTCCCCCCCTTCTCGCCCTCCTCGTCATCATCGTCCGGCCCTCTCTCCTGCTCCCACAGGCGCCTCTGGAGCCTGATGCTGAAGTGGTTCACCACCTTGTTCCTCCTGAGAGGGGGGAGGAATTGTGTGTTTGAGAGTGTCACCATCACATTTTCACTCTACTCTCCTACCCCACTACATTCCCCAACCCCCCCGCCCCTACCCCCTAATGTTTTTACCTGAGGGGTGAAGTTGCACCCCCAATCTTTATTCTTCCCCTCAGTATCTTCCCTTCTCCTGTCTCTTTCCCCCCACACCTGTCTCCCCCTCCCATTCACCTTCCCCCCTCTGCTCTCCTCCCCCCTCCTCACCTGCCCCACTCCTCGGCGGTCAGTGTGCGGTGTTTGGCCTGGGGGACAAATTTATACCAGCCATTAACGGGGAAGGCTTCGAAGGCCCCGTCGGGACACTGGGTAAAGATGTAGTAGGACGCATTCTCCGTCACACCCCCCTTATTCGTACCCTTGAACCTGAGACAGAAAAGAGAGAAATAGAGAGAGAGAAAGAGTGGGAAACAGAGAGAGAGATACAGAGAGAGAGTGAGGGGGCTTCATGTTGATATAAAAAGGATAGTGCAGGAAATATGTGAGACAGAGAAAACAGAGTGAGAGGGGGATGGGACAATGGGAGAGGAGTGGCGGAAAGAGAGAGAAGTGTAGAAGGTAATATAATTAATAGAAGGGGAGGAGAGGAAGGTAGAGAGGGGAGGAAAGTAGAGTGGGGAGGAGAGTAAGGTAGGGAGAGAGAGGGGAGGAGAGGAAGGTAGAGGGGGAGGAGAGAAAGGGAGAGGAGAGGAAGGTAGAGAGGAAGGTAGAGGGGGAGGAGAGGAAGGTAGAGAGGGGAGGAGAGGAGGGTAGAGAGGGGAGGAGAGGAAGGTAGAGAGGGGAGGAGAGGAAGATAGAGGGGGGAGGAGAGAAGGTAGAGAGGGGAGGAGAGGAAGGTAGAGGGGGGAAGGAGAGGAATGAAGAGGGGGGAAGAGAGGAAGGTAAAGAGGAAGGTAGAGGGGGGAGGAAAGGAAGGTAGAGAGGGGAGGAGAGGAAGGTAGAGGGGTAGGAAAGTGATGAGGGAGGGGTGGAGAGATGTTTAGCCAATGTATGTAGAACAGTAGAGGGAGCAAGACGGGGGAGACAGGGAGAGAGATGGAGATGGAGAAAGATGGAAAGAAACAGGGAGGGATTGTTAATAGAAAGTTAGCAAAAATACATATGATCTTGCTACCATGGAAAGGTAAATACCTGTCTATTTGTGGAAAAATTACCCTGCTTAACTCTTTAGTATTATCCCAGTTTACCTATTTGCTTATGGTCTTGCCAACGCCTAGCGAACAGTTTTTTAAATTATATGAGAAAAAAATATTCAATTTGATTTGGAACGGAAAGCCAGACAAAATTAAACAGGCCTATTTATATAATGAATATGAATTCGGAGGACAGAAATTATTAAATATTAAAGCATTAGACCTATCACTAAAAGCTTCAGTCATACAAAAGTTATACTTAAATCCGAACTGGTTCTCTAGCAAATTAGTAAGATTGTCTCACCCCATGTTCAAGAATGGCCCTTTTCCCTTTATTCAGATTACAACCTCTCACTTTCAGTTATTTGAAAAGGAAATAATCTCCCAAATATCACTATTTCTAAAACAAGCCATATAAAGTTGGTTGCAATTTCAATTTAATCCTGCAGAAATGACAGAACAAATAATGCAACAAATATTGTGGTTAAACTCAAATATACTACTTGATAAAAAAACATTATTTTTTGTAAAAAAGGTATAATCTTCGTAAATTATGTCATAGGTAGGACTGGTGGAGTTAGTTTGCACATGCAGCTAACAAAAACATATGGAAATGTCTGCTCTACCCAAAATTACAACCAAATAATTGCAGCATTACCGCAAAACCGGAAGAGGAAAGTGGAAGGGAGAAAAAGTAAGGAACTTGTCTGTCGGGCCCTGCATTAAAGAACATAATTGGTTAAAGAAAATGCTGATAAATAAAAAAGTATACCAGTTTCATTTAAGGACGAAAGGATTGACAGCCGTCCCATATAGATTGCAAAATAGTTGGGAAGAGATTTTTGATGTACCGATTCCATGGCATAGTGTTTATGAACTGATACGCAAAACAACGCCGGATTCAAAACGTATAATTTTTCAATTTTAATTATTATACCAAGTTCTTGCTACCAATATAATGTTATTTATATGGGGGATAAAATCTTCCCAGCTCTGCAGATTTTGCTGCGAAGAGACAGAATCAATAGATAATTTGTTTTGGTACTGTCCTTTTGTAGCTTGTTTTTGGTCACAGGTCCAGGAATGGCTGAAGGATTGCAATATTTACCTGGAGCTAACCCTGCAGATAGCACTACTGGGTGATCTGAAAAGTCAATCGTTCAATAATATAATAATACTTTTAGCAAAAATGTTTATTTTCAATTTACAATCTGTAGAAACAATGAGAATAGAAGGGTTCAGAATTTTTGTGAAACATCACAGTACAGTTGAAAAATATATGGCAAATAGAAATCCAATATGTATGGTGTTAAGAGATAGATGGGAGGTGTTGAATGGAGCTGAAGGATGGGACTAATAACAACTAACGACAACTAATAACAACAAGATGACTAATGTAAAGCATACTGTGTCCATAATAAGTATTTGCAGTGAGGGGAAAAAAGTATTTGATCCCCTGCTGATTTTGTACGTTTGCCCACTGACAAAGATATGATCAGTCTATAATTTTAATGTTAGGTTTATTTTAACAGTGAGAGACAGAATAACAACAAAAAAATCAGGAAAAATGCATGTCAAAAATGTTATAAATTGATTTGCATTTTAATGAGGGAAATAAGTATTTGACCCCTCTGCAAAACACGACTTAGTACTTGGTGGCAAAACCCTTGTTGGCAATCACAGAGGTCAGACGTTTCTTGTAGTTGGCCACCAGGTTTGCACACATCTCAGGAGGGATTTTGCCCCACTCCTCTTTGCAGATCTTCTCCAAGTCATTAAGGTTTCGAGGCTGACATTTGGCAACTCGAACCTTCAGCTCCCTCCACAGATTTTCTATGGGATTAAGGTCTGGAGACTGGCTAGGCCACTCCAGGACCTTAATGTGCTTCTTCTTGAGCCACTCCTTTGTTACCTTGGCCGTGTGTTTTGGGTCATTGTCATGCTGGAATACCCATCCACGACCCATTTTCAATGCCCTGGCTGAGGGAAAGAGGTTCTCACCCAAGATCTGAATACTTATGTAACTGTGATATTTCAGTTTTAGATTTTTTATGAATTTGGAAACATTTCTAAAAACCTGTTTTTGCTTTGTCATTATGGTAGATTGATGAGAAAATAAACAATTTAATCAATTTTAGAGTAAGGCTGTAACTTAGCAACATTTTGAAAATTTTTGAAAACATCAAGGGGTCTGAATAGTTTCCGAATGTATGGAGCATAGTGTATTTATTGTTTTATTCACACGTTTTCAAGTACTGGTGACGAATCATGCATTCCGATTCTTGCATACATTGTAATGGTCACATATGTTGTGTGTAAAATGCTTTTTTGAAGGTTGCACTGATTATGATGAACTAATGCTAAGCTAATTGCCAGCTCCCCTGCACCCCTCCTCCTCTTCCTCCAGCCAATGTTGTCACTTCCTGTTGAACGCGGAACGAGGGAGAGCTTGGTTTGTTGTTTTGGAAAGTTTTGAAAGTCTATTGAAAAAGTTACTAGCTAGCTACCTTTTGAGTTTGGATGCCGCAACGCGGTTGGCATCACTTGCTGGGACCTCTACTATCTGTCCAGTGATTCTGCTGACCAAGGCCAGGTCTGAGGAGCTGTTTGGCGTAGCAGCTAACCTAGCTGCGAGCTAGCTACCTATCAAGCAAGCAGGTTAGCCATTGTGGCTGGGACCGTGGATTGTCCCGGGCTTGTGGCTGTCTAGACCCCTGCTGTTTGCATTCACCACAGCAATGTCAATGAAGTGATAGAACAATGTCTTGTATCATTTCATTGTATTGTGGGGGATATTGTAGTAGCCTATCAGCGCGTCTGACAGGTCCACACCACCCATGCTTTTGTTGTAATTCTTTACAGCAGCTGGAATGTGGACATTCACACCTCTAGATGGCCGGGCGGGGCTTGGTGTGGAGCCAGAGACCGCAGCAGGGGTCAGACTGGAAGTTTCCACATTTGAATGAGTGGGGGATGGACGACTTAAATGTGGTGGTTCCCTAAGGTCTTCTGAGTCATTGGGACTATTGAAGATAAAAATAACATTCAGTAAGAACTCAAGATTACTATTACTTTATTTTAGCAGGGGGTGGGCCCTGCATCAATACTTTTACGGATGAGCCCTGCATCAATACATCAAATAAACAACAGATGTATAAACATATATAGAGTATGGGGTACACAATCACTATAATTATAAATGTGTATCAATAGTAAATAAGACACTCGAAAGCCACAGCAAGTCATGGTCAACATAAAATACACAGTCTATGCTAATACTGTCACGATCGCCAATGAAGTATGACCAAAGCGCAGCGTTGGGAGTGAACATGATGATTTTAATTTTGAAACACACGACAAAACAAAACACGATCCGTGACGTCCTCAGTTACACCGACTGAATAAAGAACAAAAACCCACAACCACAAGGTGAACACAGACATTTAAATATGGCTCCCAATCAGAGATAACGAGTCGACAGCTGACACTCGTTACCTCCGATTGGGAGTCACTGACCAAACATAGAACGCGAACACCTAGACACTACCCACAGTACACAACACACGGAAATCTACACACCCTGACTAAACACAAAAAGTCCTAGAACCAGAGTGTGACAGTACCCCCCCCCAAAGGCGCGGACTGCGACCGCGCCTAACTACAAGCAAACAGGGGAGGGCTGGGTGGGCATTCCTCCTCGGCGGCGGCTCCGGCTCCGGGCTTCCTCCCCACTTCCTCTCCAACCCCCCAAAGTACCCCTGGTCCTGCCTAGCCCCGCTGGCCGGAACCGGACTGGCGACACGCGCCCCTGGCTTGGTGCGTGGATCCTGGCTGGACGGCTCTGGCGGATCCCGGCTGGACGGCTCTGGCGGATCCCGGCTGGACGGCTCTGGCGGATCCTGGCTGGACGGCTCTGGCGGATCCTGGCTGGACGGCTCTGGCGGATCCTGGCTGGAAGGCTCTGGCGGATCCCGGCTGGAAGGCTCTGGCGGATCCCGGCTGGACGGCTCTGGCGGATCCTGGCTGGAAGGCTCTGGCGGATCCCGGCTGGAAGGCTCTGGCGGATCCCGGCTGGACGGCTCTGGCGGATCCTGGCTGGACGGCTCTGGCGGATCCTGGCTGGACGGCTCTGGCGGATCCTGGCTTGACGGCTCTGGCGGATCCTGGCTGGACGGCTCATGGCTGGCTGACGGATCTGGCTGCTCATGGCTGGCTGACGGATCTGGCTGCTCATGGATGGCTGACGGATCTGGCTGCTCATGGCTGGCTGACGGATCTGGCTGCTCATGGCTGGCGGAAGGATCTGGCTGCTCATGGCTGGCGGAAGGCTCTGGCTGATCCTGTCTGGCGGAAGGCTCTGGCTGATCCTGTCTGGCGGACGGCTCTGGCTGGACAGGGCTGACGACGCACCCCGTAGGCTCGGTGCGTTGAGCAGGGACAGGCCGGGCTGGGCTGGCGAAACGCACCACAGACTTGGTGCGGGGCGCAGGAACAGGCCGAGCTGGGCTGGCGACGCACCCCGTAGGCTTGGTGCGTTGAGCAGGGACAGACAGAACCGCACTGGGGACACACACCCCTGGCCCTACACGGGGATCAGGAACGGGCCGGACCGGACTGGAAACACCCCCCAGTACCTCTCGCCGTGCCTCCACACTTTCCATCCCCTTCGTAACCAGTGGCCCCCTTAAACTGGCGGCCATATCTGCCAACCTCTTGCACTCCTCCGGGCCGTACACCTTCTGCCCCGACGTCGTGAGCCCCCCCTTAAAAATTTTCTGGGGGTCTCTCCTCTCGGTGGACCAGGCCTCCATAGTCCTCTCCCAACCTTCGCTCTTCTGGCTCCACCACTCGTTATCCAACTGCTGCTTGGTCTTGTTGTGGTGGGTTTTTCTGTCACGATCGCCAATGAAGTATGACCAAAGCGCAGCGTTGGGAGTGAACATGATGATTTTAATTTTGAAACACACGACAAAACAAAACACGATCCGTGACGTCCTCAGTTACACCGACTGAATAAAGAACAAAAACCCACAACCACAAGGTGAACACAGACATTTAAATATGGCTCCCAATCAGAGATAACGAGTCGACAGCTGACACTCGTTACCTCCGATTGGGAGTCACTGACCAAACATAGAACGCGAACACCTAGACACTACCCACAGTACACAACACACGGAAATCTACACACCCTGACTAAACACAAAAAGTCCTAGAACCAGAGTGTGACAAATACATTGTAGGTTTATATATTTATATAAAAAAGCCACTCCATTCCAGCATTATTATGAACAATCCTCCCATCACCAGCCTCCACTGGCTTTTATATAGACCCACAATGTATAGCCTGTGTATTATATGTTGACTATGAAATGCTGTGGCTGTGGTTTGAGTGCTTTATTTACTGTTGGTACAAACATTTCATTATAATGATTGCTATATAAACTCAGCAAAAAAGAAACGTCCCTTTTTCAGGATCCTGTCATTCAAAGATAATTCGTATAAAATCCAAATAACTTCACAGATCTTCATTGTGAAGGGTTTAAACACTGTTTCCCATGCTTGTTCAATGAACCATAAACAATTAATGAACATGCACCTGTGGAACGGTCGTTAAGACACTAACAGACGGTAGGCAATTAAAGGTCACAGTTATGAAAACTTAGGACGCTAAAGAGGCCTTTCTACTGACTCTGAGTCAGGGTCCCTGCTCAACTGCGTGAACGTGCCTTAGGCATGCTGCATGGAGGCATAAGGACTGCAGATGTGGCCAGGGCAATAAATTGCAATCTCCGTACTGTGAGACGCCTAAGACAGTGCTACAGGCAGACAGGACGGACAGCTGATCGTCCTCGCAGTGGCAGACCACGTGTAACAACACCTGCACAGGATCGGTACATCGGAACATCACATCTGCGGGACAGGTAGAACGCACAATCCCTCCATCAGTGCTCAGACTGTCCACAATAGGCTGAGAGAGGCTGGATTGAGGGCTTGTAGGCCTGTTGTAAGGCAGGTCCTCACCAGACATCACCGGCAACAACATTGCCTATGGGCACAAACCCACCATCGCTGGAACAGACACGACTGGCAAAAAGTGCTCTTCACTGACGAGTCAAGGTTTTGTCTCACCAGGGGTGATGGTCGGATTCGCATTTATCGTCAAAGGAATTAGCGTTACACCGAGGCCTGTACTCTGGAGCGGTATCGATTTGGAGGTGGAGGGTCCATCATGGTCTGGGGCGGTGTGTCACAGCATCATCGGACTGACCTTGTTGTCATTGCAGGCAATCTCAACGCAGTGCTTTACAGGGAAGACATCCTCCTCCTTCATGTGGTACCCTTCCTGCAGGCTCATCCTGACATGACCCTCCAGCATGACAATGCCATCAGCCATACTGCTCGTTCTGTGTGTGATTTCCTGCAAGACAGGAATGTCAGTGTTCTGCCATGGCCAGCGAAGTGCCCGGATCTCAATAAAATTGAGCACGCCTGGGACCTGTTGGATCTGAGGGTGAGGGCTAGGGCCATTCCCCACAGAAATGTCCAGGAACTTGCAGGTGCCTTGGTGGAAGAGTGGGGTAAAATCTCACAGCAAGAACTGGCAAATCTGGTGCAGTCCATGAGGAGGAGATGCACTGCAGTGCTTAATGCAGCTGGTGGCCACACCAGATACTGACTGCTATTTTTGATTTTGACCCCCCCTTTGGTCAGGGACCCATTATTCAATTTCTGTTAGTCACATGTCTGTGGAACTTGTTCAGTTTATGCCTCAGTTGTTGAATCTTGTTATGTTCATACAAATATTTACACATGTTAAGTTTGCTGAAAATAAACGCAGTTGACAGTGAGAGGACGTTTCTTTTTTTGCTGAGTATAGTACCAGTCAAAAGTTTGGACACACCTACTCATTCAAGGGTTTTTCTTTATTTTTTACTATTTTCTACATTGTAGAATAATAGTGAAGACATCAAAACTATGAAATAACACACATGGAATCATGTAGTAACCAAAGAAGTGTTAAACAAATCAAAATATATTTTATATTTGAGATTCTTCAAATAGCTACCCTTTGCCTTGATGATAGCTTTGCACACTCTTGGCATTCTCTCAACCAGCTTCATGAGGTAGTCACCTGGAATGCATTTGAATTAACAGGTGTGCCTTCTTAATAGTCAATTTGTGGAATTTCTTTCCTTCTTAATGTGTTTGAGACAATCAGTTGTGTATACAGAATATAGCCCTTTTTGGTAAAAGACCAAGTCCATATTATGGCAAGAACAGCTCAAATAAGCAAAAGAAACGACAGTCCATCATTACTTTAAGACATGAAGGTCAGTCAATATGGAACTTTTCAAGAACTCTGAAAGTTTCTTCAAGTGCAGTCGCAAAATCCATCAAGTGCTATGATGAAATTGGCTCTCATGAGGACCGCCACAGGAATGGAAGACCCAGAGTTACCCCTGCTGCAGAGGATAAGTTAATTAGAGTTACCAGCCTCAGAAATTGCAGCTCAAATTAATGCTTCACAAAATTCAAGTCACAGACACATCTCAACATCAGCTGTTCAGAGGGGACTGTGTGAATCAGGCCTTCATGGTCTAATTGCTGCAAAGAAACCACTACTAAAGGACACCAATAAGAAGAAGAGACGTGCTTGGGCCAATATACACAAGCAATGGATATTAGACCGGTGGAAATGTGTCCTTTGATCTGGAGTCGAAATGGGAGATTTTTGTTTCCAACCGCGGTGTCTTTGTGAGACGCGGTGTGGGTGAACGGATGATCTCCTCATGTGTATTTCCCACCATGAAGCATGGAGGAGGAGCTGTTATGGTGTGGGGGTGCTTTGCTGGTGACACTGTCTGTGATTTATTTAGAATTTAAGGCACACTTAACCAGCATGGCTACCACAGCATTCTGCAGTGGTACGCCATCACATCTGGTTTGGGCTTAGTGGGACTATAATTTGTTTTTCAACAGGACAATGACCCAACACACCTCCAGGCTGTGTAAGGGCTATTTGACACAGAAGGAGAGTGATGGAGTGCTGCATCAGATGACCTGGCCTCCACAATCCCCCGACCTCAACCTACAGTGTGGAAAAAAGTATTTAGTCAGCCACCAA